CATTTAGATTACCTCAATTGAATGTTAGATGGAGAAAGGGAGAGTGTTGAAAGTTCTCCCTAGTCAATAATGTTGTCAAAACTGTATAATGAGCCATGATGCATTGAGCATGAGCTGCACATATGGCACAGAGGCTTACAAGCCATGGCACACGTCTCTACTCTGCACTGAATTACTATTCTTAACTTTTGTGCAAGTGCTTGATTCTTTGTTTTTTTTGATCTCATGCTTCTGCATACTAGTTAAACTTTGATTTTTGACTTAAAAAGATACTTTGGAGAGTATTAGGACCTGTTTGAAAACTTATTGTGGGAATAGTTTTCTGTTCTCCAGAATAGGAGAACAAAAAAATTATTTAGTAATGTTTTTTAAAAAGTATTTCAAAAAATAAAAAAAATTATTTTGGAGAATATAAAAATGAAAACAACTTTTAAAGTGTTTTGGAATTGTTGTTTTGGAGAACAAGAGATAATGAGAAAAACACATATTTTAATTATTTTTTTTTCTCAAAACGTGTTTTACAAAACATTAGTTCTCAGAACAATAAAATAAAAATAATTTTAAACAACCCCTTAAATTTTAAAAACTTAGGATTCCTAAATTGTAATTTTTACAACTTGGCAACCGTACCTTGTGATAAACTCTAGATTACTTGAGTTTTAGACTTAATTAGTAATTAGTAAGGAAGACCTTACAATTGAATTATTTTTTCAAAAAATCATGATTTTACATTTAAAATTAATTATGGTATGTGTAATGGGTGCTTGGATATTTTAGAAAAATAAAATTTTAAATTCATAATTAATTTTAACATATAACAAGTGTGTTTAGGTGTATTTTGTCAAAACCATGGTTCGAACTTGTATAATTGCTCATTTAGGCTAATCCAAAGAGGCAAACCATTACTTATTTTTCACTTGAGTTTTTCAATTATACCTTTCTAAAAATTTATGTGAAAATCATATAAATTATTTTACAAATCATATGTTTTTGTTTGTAATTGATTTTAATATGTATAGGGGGCCTGTTTGGATACTTCTCTAGAATCAACAATGAGGTCAAAAATCAGGGTTTTAGAAAAAGTTATCCAACACTCTTAATTTTTTCAAACTCCATTTGGTTCTTAAAACTCCATTTCATAGAAGCTAACCAAATACCTCCAATTTTTTTCAAATTTTATAGGCTTGTTTAGATTTCAATTGGATATAATTGATTATAAAAAAATTGATTAATATTATTAATTTTGATTATAATTGATTATATTATAAAGTGATCATGTTTGGATATTATTTTTTTAAAATTAATTTTAATAAAATTAAAAATGTTTGGATGATTTATTCAGAATCAATTTTAGAGGTATAAATTACAATAGAAGACATTGATTTTTATGTGTGTGTGTATTGATTAATAATAAAAATTCAAATTATATTATATTGTAATATTAATAATTTTATCTATATAAAAAATAAATCAATACATCAAAGTTTAAATAATTTCAATAAAAGGAAAAAATATAATTATAAATATTCAGGTTTAGAATAATTAATGACTAATGATCTCAAAAATATTTTGCAAACAAACTATATGTAGATAAAGAAAAGTGACACTTTTGTATGTTGGAAGAGGAAGTTATAACTTTTTTGTTCTTTCTTTTAATTGTAATATAACAAAACAGAGAGAAGTCATGGAGAGAGGAGAAAGTGATGGACAAGGACATTTTCACTTGAGAGTTTTATTGGTCGATTAAAAGACTCTAATATTGCTCCACTCCAATACATATAATCGGTACTTAGAGGCTATTCATTACAGCTTAAGCCAAATCATGGTTTGAATTAAGATAATTCATTATGTAAAAATGAGGGTGTTTGAGTGTTGGTACATTTAATCAACTATGGAAGCTTATCCAAAAAGGTTGTTTTTATTGTTGTTCCTTAAGTGTATAATTATAAGGCTTCCCTTTTTTTTCTCATCCAAATGTTTTGATACTAGATGGATAAAACCTTTTCATAAAGTGGCTATTTTTCAAGAATCTCTTGAACTGATGTATGCATTTTTTTTTTATGAATGGAATTTACAATTTGTAAAAAGAAAAAAACAAACCTTCACATTCACCTGAAAAATTAATTAATATCAATCATTCTTACCAGTCCATTTGGATATTTATAAGAAAAAAATTAATTAATATGTATGATTTTAAATATAATTCATTATGTTATGTGATATATTTGATTTATAAAGTATATTTTAAGCATAATTGAAAATTAAATAAAACCATAATTTTGTGAAAATATATTCCAATACTCTATTACATGCCAAAATCAATTATAAATTCAAAACTATAGTTTTTTTTTAAAATATCCAAATGTTCATATGCAATATCAAAATCAATTATGAATTCACAATTATAGTTTTCTTAAAAACATATGAACATTCTTGTATATGCCAAAATTAACTGTGAATCTAAAACCATAGTTATCTCATAATCTATTATTACCTATTTCTTAATTATAATTTTTTAAAAATCATATAAATTGTTTTACAAATCATATTTTTGGGTTGATATAATTGATTTTGATATATATAGAGGTGTTTGGATATATTTTCAAAATACTATGCTTTTGCATTTATAATCGATTTTAATATGTATAATAAATATTTGAATATATTTAAAAAAACATAATTTTGAATTCATAATTAATTGTAACATGTAACATGTATGTTCAAGTGTTTTTTGTCAAAATCATGGTGTGAACTTGCATAATTCATTATTTAGGCTTGTCCAAAGAGGCATATCATTACTTATCCTTCACTTCAATTTTTCAATCATACCTTTTTAAAAAATTATGCAAAAATCAAATTTATTTTGTAAATCATGTTTTTGAATTCGTTATTGATTTTAGCATGTATAGAAGGCATGCTTGAATACTCTTCTAGAATCAATTATGAGATCCAAAACTATGGCTTTGGAAAAAGTTATCCAAACACCTTTATATTTTTCTAAACTCCATTTATTTTTTGAAACTCTATTTTATATAAGTTAACCAAACACTCCTGATTTTTACAAACTTCATCATTTGGTTCTTGAAAAAAAAATCTAATTTTTCTTCCATTCGGTGAATTGATTTTGCAAAATCAATGTTAAAAAATATTATTCAAATAACCACGTTTCATTAATCAATTTTTTCATAATTAATTTTTTTAATTGAAATTCAAACACACCTAGAGGTTTTAAGATATTTTAAAAAAAATCATAAGTTTGAATTTAAAATTGAATTTATCATGTCTAATAGATATTTAGATATTTTTAGAAAAAAATGGTATTTGATTCATAATTTATTTTGATATGTAATAGAAGTGTTTGGATATTTTTAAGTAATCATGGTTTTGACCTCTATAATTAGATCTGTTTCTAAGAAAGGAAATCAATATTTGGTTGAACACGTTAATCAATAATCAATAAATAATAATATTCATTTTTGAAAACTAATTTTAAGTAAATTATCATTTTTAATATTTATTAAAATTATATATATATTATTTTTATTTATTTATGATATACACAAAAAAAATTTTAAAACAAGAAAATTCATATTTTAATATAATTATTATCAAAACTTTTTCATTAATTTAAAGATATTTTCTTACTTTATAAAAATTTTAAAAATAGAATATTCTGGTCAATATATTTAAAATTAAAAAATATGAAATAAACTTTTACTAGAAAATTATCAATACATTTTTTTAATGAAAAGATCATTTTATTTTATTACCTATTCTTTTCTTAATGAGAATTTTATAGCTGTTCTAGACAACCAAACGTGCAATGCATGGAAGTCTTCAAAATCTTGTCAATGGTCAACCGATTGCCAATATTTGAAGAGGTACATTTTTTAAGGAGTTGAGTATTTAAAAATATAAAATATTTTTAATTTTTTAAGGTGTGATTATTGCCTTTTTTTTTTAAAGTATCCCTATTGATAATGACTTTATATTTATTATAGAGTGTTTAATAGGAGTAAATATGAAAAGATATGGTTGGTTAAAAAATAGGTAACTATTTTATTGAAAGGTGAGATTCAATTAAAAATATCTTATATTTTTGAATGGAGGGAATATTGGTTATTGATTTTTATACATATATGTAACAAATTGTTTGTATAAGATATTTTTTCCATATAATAATTATAATATTTCTGTAATTATTATGTTGGCTAAAGGTTATTTTTTGTCTTCTAACTTTTTATAAAATTTTAATTTAACCTTTTCATTTTATAAATTATTTTTTTAGTCTTTTAATTCTAATATTATTAATTTTAAATGATTATTTTTTATATTTTTTATTGTTATTTTAAAAATTAAATTTAACATATTAATATTTACTTTTGTTCAAAAAATATATTAATATTTAAAAATATTTAAAATTTTAATGTAAATTTTTTTTTAAACTTTGTTTAAAATTGAAGAATTAAATATTCATTTTAGCTATATTATTTTAGATCAAATATATGTTTATATATATATATATATTATATACATACATATATTTCATTTAATTTGGGTTTGGATTTCAAAAATTATTTTTATTTGATTTTATTGCATGGATGACGAAATTACTAAATACCCAACTCTAGTACTTCCCCCCTAAAATATAAGATAATTTAATAAAAATAAGATTTTATTAGTCATGTTTTTCAAATATTACCCTTCAAATAATTGAAATTATTGTAACATAATAATTAATAAATGTGTAAATTTAAGTTAACTTAAATAAAGGATAATTTTTAAAATTTATATAATTATTTTAAAAAATAAATATATAAAATATCATTATTATATACTGTCTTAATTATTTTATAATTCAATACGGAGTAGCTTGCAATAGTAGAAAAATGAAGCGGAAAATCGAAACCGAGTCCGAGGACACAGTTCGATGGCGAAATGGAAATAGCAACGGAGTAAAACCTGAAAAGGGGAGAGGTTTGAATTTGAAGTGCGAAATTGAAAAGCGTGGTTGGTTGGTTAGGTTTGGTTTGAGTGGGTAATGTGCAGTGTAGGTGTAATGGTCAAACATAAAACAACGCAACAGCTTCTTCGCTTTTCAGTCTCTCTCTTTGTTCTTATTATCTTTCTGAACACTGCCCGACGTCTGCTACTGCCTGCATTATATCGTAAAGCTTCGGACCCAACAACGCTCGGCCACATCACTCCTCCGTCTTTGAAGGAGCCACACTGCAATATTTTCCACGTCCTGGATTTCCTAGATCTGGTATGTACAGCTTCCGAGTTTTTTTTCCCCTTTCGTTTTTTGTTTTTATTTCTTCCATTTCAATCATTTCTCAGCTTCTTTCTGTAGCTGCTGCTCTGCATTTGTTTCTTCTTTAAATTCGTATCTGCTTTGTTCCTCTCTCTTTCTTTACCTCCTCAAGCTGGTTTTGTTTTTGTTTTCTCTCTTTTTTCTGGATTTTATTTTCACTTTTCTCATTCCTTTTTCTTAATTTTGTATGCTTGGCGCTCAGGAATCTGGCGTTTCTGTCTTTCGTTCGGTGCGATGGAAAATTTTCAAACTTTATCGGTGTCCTAATCCTTTTTATCAAAACCCTAGCCAATTATGATATCGTGAGTTTCTGTCGTTTCGGCTAGTATTTGTGTAATTCTTCACGTTTGGGTATTGAAACTTCACTTTCGGGTTTGTTTGCTGATTCGGAGGTTTATATGTGTTGAAACTTAGTCAGCTTTAATGCTTTCCAAGTTTGCAACATTCTTTAGTTGCTCTCTTCAATAAATTCCCCTAGCATGTGAAAATGATGGTTCGCCTATTTCTTCTATGCTGCTTAACGTGGGATTAGGCATCTCATGCTGTCCTGGTCTGTATCATTCTCCTAATTCTTACTTAGATCATCTCATATCTTATTATGTCTATCATCTCTTCTCTTAGGATCTCATCGTTTGGTATTACTGTCTCAATGTAATCCTGTTAGCATTTCTGGGAAGTATGGGATGATCATTTCATGACAGCTGACAAAATCCAACCAAGGAGTCACAGTAACAAGCAAGCTAGAATAGTTAATGTTGATCATTGAAATAATTAAAAAGAGAACAGAATCAAAAGGACCTTATCCTGCACGGGCCTAAGTCTCTTGCTTAATGCTTTCCCCGATTTAGATATTTAGGTTGATGATGTTGCGCACCTCCTACAGGAGATGGAAATTAGGTGTTACCAGACAGAATTACATTTTCTTGGGTCTATTTATTAGAATATAAATTTATAACTGTTTTTATAGTTTTCCATGTTCATAGAAAAATGTCTCATTCTACATCTGAGTATATGATTCCAAGTCCACTCAGAATTATACGCTTTCTGGTCATATGAGTGGGTGGTTGATGGGTTCTAGATGCTGTACCAAATATGTTCATGCCTGACAATATCACAAATTGATTGAACATGTAAATTGCGTGATTCAGGTTGACAATTGGGTTCTGAGAAAGGAACTCATCGCACGTTTGTTGACATGAAAAGATGAGAGAACCGTATGCATTTATTAGACTAGGGAAATCCAACGTGGCTCTTGAAGTTATTCTTATTTTGGGCCACCACCATTGTGTATAGTCTCAGTTCTGGTGTCGAACTGATCATCAGTGAGGCTTGTGGCTTTTTCACTTTGATTTCCCCCTTGCTTCTAAAGGGCCTAGGTATGAAGTCAAACAATGTCATATATAAATTGAAGCCTCAACAATGGTTCAAGTTTGAGTCTATAGGTGTGGATGCCTGACCTAATTTTCATCAGCTTACTTTTCTCCACTTGTGGTGTAGTTTGAGATGTTAACAATAATTCTCATACTTTATTTTACTTATATTTTATTTCTGTCAGATAAATGACAAATGTATCAACGAAACAGTGTCCCTAGTTTAAGTCTACTTGGAAGCAACACATTGGTGCATGGTCAGCAGTTTGATTGTGGTGGAAGTACAATGGAACCAATCAATGGAGGGAACAGTTTCGCAAACAATTCCAATCTGAGCTCAAAGCAACGGCTACGCTGGACACATGAGCTCCACGAACGCTTTGTTGATGCTGTGGCGCAGCTTGGTGGGCCTGATCGTGAGTTACCTTACCTATATTTAGTTAACTGGAGAGTGGAGATGGTTTCTTCTTCTTGTCCCCCCCCCAAAAAAAAAAAAAAGATTTTCTTATATAATAGAATGTCCATCCTGTTGTATAGCACCTATTGGAATAAAAGTGCGTTGTTTTTCATCAATTTAAACTCATTACTGGATATTTTTTAGCTGTTAGCTTCTGTTCTTGTTTTATTTCCTTATCTTTATATATATATATATATGTTTGTGTGTGTGTGTAAACAAGGAACTCTTTTCACAAAAAAATTATTGGATGAGCATGGCTACCTAATGACACTTTGGAAGGGTGAAATGAGTTTTTTTTTTTTTTTTTTGGGGTATAAGTTGCTTGGACAGTAGAAGGTATAATGCCAGATCTGCCTACACACGTGCATCAGATGTCTGTTAAATTCTTGGCTGGATCTCTGCAATGTTGGATGAAGATCCTTGCATGAAATTAAATACCTTATAATATAATCTAAATTTCTAATAACCTTTTCCCAGGTGCCACACCAAAAGGTGTCCTTAGAGTGATGGGTGTACAAGGCTTAACAATATATCACGTCAAAAGCCATCTGCAGGTAATGTGTACTTTAGGGCTGGTTCCTATAATGGTTATGCTGTGCCAATAATTTTTATTCACACGAATTGTCTAATGCATACAGAAATATCGTCTTGCTAAATACCTCCCTGACTCCTCATTTGATGGTAGGTCCATCTAGCCCTAGTTCTGGTTTCAAATGTTAATCAATTTTACAGTGTATTGACGGGTTTTTGTAAGCCCATTAGGCTGATTAATTTCAAGCTCTAACCTTCATGATCATATTATTGTAGAATGTTGGTGATACCTTTTTATTTTATTTTGTTAATGGTAGGGAAAAAAGCCGACAAGAAAGAAACAGGGGATATGCTTTCCAATCTAGATGGTTCACCGTGAGTATGGCTGCTCTTTTGCCTTTTTATTCTCACACATAAGCAATTTGATGGATGAATGAAGACAGCCTGTACATATTTGTGAAAGCTTAACATAAAAGAGAAAAACAACTATACTTGTTACCAGTACACGTTGAGCAAAACATCATCCATCTGATTTGCTTTATCATAGTTGAGTCAAATATAAGCCTGTTTTTTTTTTTTTTTCCATGTTAAAAGTGAAAGCTATTTCTATACGTTTAGTGCCTCCAAAATTATCCTAGGGTAAGGCATGTTTTTTTGTATTTTAATATTTTCATCGGTTCATGAGATCTGGTGGGATGAATTAGAAACTTACTAGTGGGCATACCCTTCTATTTGCAGAGGGATGCAGATTACTGAAGCTCTAAAGCTGCAAATGGAGGTGCAGAAGCGATTACATGAGCAATTGGAGGCAAGTTTTTCCTTGTAATATCTAATTTGTACATTTTCTTGGCAAATTTTGAGTAATGATACTTTCAATTCAATCCTATTGAATTTAATCAGAACACAAGATAAAGTTCTTTCTGATTCTTGCCATTCATTGGATTGGGTTTGATTATACAAATTCTGATAGTCTCTTCTGTGTTTTATAGCCCCAAGTGTGAATGTTTTCTTGTGGATTAAGTTGAGTGGGTAGAGTTTGAACCAATGAAGAAAATATGAAAGATAACCGTCTTTAGCAGGCCGAAGCCACATTGTGTATAGGTTAGGAAGCATGGGCATTGAGACGAACACAGACACAGCAAAACATATTAAAAGTCTATATGTTATTCAAAAAGGGCATCCCTTCCCTGCATAGATGGAAAGTTTAGTTGCTCAGGTTGCCTAAACACTTATTTCTAACATGCTTAGATATTAAAAATATGAATAAGCTTCTTCTTCTTCTTTTTTTTTTAATTACATTTGTCCTAAATAATCATGTAGCCGACCCCACCTAGTGGGATAAGGCTTATTGTTGTTGTTATCGTCGTCTTAAATAAAGTAGGGATGGCGATTACTATTTTTTTTTTAAATTAAATGTCAAGTCTAGTTTTCTGCTTGCCTGTTCTGGTGGATTGAACTTGTGTCTTGGTAGTTGACTGCCAAACATTATAACCATCAAGTCGCAAATTTATTCTAACTTAATGTTTAGTACATGGAAAAATGCTTTCTAGAAAGAAAAATTTGAAATGTACCAAGAAAGAAATTGGGATTGGTGCATCTCCCATTTGTTTCCTAGAAAATACTTTTCTACCTTGCATAAAGGTTTCTCCTTTCAATCATGTGAAGGAAAACAGATAGAATAAAGATGAATAAAGGGTTAAGATGCTTTAAACTTAAAATAACAATATCATGGGCTAAGATGCAATTTTTCTGATGTTTTATGTGAAACAGGTTCAGAGACAGCTACAACTTCGGATTGAAGCCCAGGGCAAATACTTGAAGAAGATAATTGAAGAACACCAGCGGCTCAGTGGTGTTCTTTCCCAAGCACCCGGCTCAGGGGATGCAGACTCAGTGCCAGGTGACGCCTGCCAAGACCCTGACAATGAGAATGACCCATCAACTCCTGCCCCTACATCTGAGTGCCCCCTTCAGGAAAAAGCTACTAAAGAACGTGCTCCGGCAAAGAGTCTCTCAATCGACGAATCCTTTTCATCCCACAACGAACCATTAACGCCTGATTCTGGCTGCCCTGCTGGTTCCCCTATCAATAGCCCTAGAGAGAAGAGGATGATAAAAAAGCAAAGGGTGAGCTTGGAAGGAGCATTTTCTAAAGCAGAAATGGTGCTTCCACATCATATACTTGAGTCAAGCATGTCATCAAGTCAGCAATTGAACAGTGTGTTTCCTACGCTGGAGCAGTTTGATCCTTCACTAGGAATATCTACCAGAAGTGACGGGGAACTGAAGAAGGTTGGCGGGGGAAATCTGTGATTGACTGTAATATTTGGCTTCTGTATTAGGACTATACCTACTATCATCTGAGGTTAGTTGGGTGAATGACTTGATAGATCAAAGATCCTTTTCATGATAAATTCCTAACGTCACTAGGTTTAAACAGTTAGCTAAATTTCCACGTTTTAATTACATTCAGAGACATTATGTAAATTGGTTTGATCTCCACTTTCTTGTAATCTGTTCCTTACACTTGTTCATCACTGTATCATCTGAATGTTGATGGGTTAGTTCTGGTATCTTCGTTTGTCCAGCACAGAAAGTGTACTGCTCTGCGTTTAACAGATTCCTTGCTTGGATAAAAAAGATACTCTTTTCAATTCTATTTCTAAGTTATTTTTTCTAATCTTATCAATATCAAAATAATAAAAGTATTGAGAAGTAAAAGTAAGTGAAATTTTAAATATAATTCAAAAGTAAAAAGTAAAAAGTGAATAAATCATGTGATATTATTTTTCTGTCTCTCTATTTGTAATCATATAAAAACAAATCATAGTTGTGGGTGAAAGAACTGAAATGAATGGGAATTTTTTTGATTTGGCAGGGGATGAAAAAGTGAGATCCAACCATTTAAAAGGGAGTCACATTACAGGCATAAAAACACAAAATATAGAAATAAAAGGGGACAACAAGTGGGTCTTCCACCATGAAAAAATGATGCTTCTCTTTTGATTTAAATGCTTTAGCCATGTGAGAGAATGAGGAAAATGGTGGGGACGATAAAGTAAATGGGCAAATGAAGTCTGCAACATGTCCTTGGATTTAAATACTCATCCTAGTATTTACTTGCTTTCCCAAACCCTAGAATCGTATTGTCATTGTCATTGCTCACTTCTTCATTCAAATCAAATGAGTGAACTTTCTTTTTATGCTCCCCTCAACAAAGTTTGAAGATGCAAATGAAGCATTGTTTGGATGAGGTACTCTCAAGATCTTCTAATTCAAAGAGGTTGAATAATGGAAAAACTTCTTCTTTCCCATCAAAAGAATCATCAACTATACACCCCATCAATTTATTTCGTGACAGACTCAACCATTTTCCATTCAACACAAAGCAGGGCTTGAACAACAAGATTGCAACGAACAGCTACTTGATGGAAGAGGAATGACGAGATTGAACAATGAGATTACAGCCAACATCGACCAGAAGAGAGGCGTTCGACAACTAGAAGTGAAGAGAGAGAAGATGAAAAGGAAATGATATAGACAAATTGTCGTAGTTTAGAAAGGTAAAGTGAAGAGAAGTGTAGTTTGGGAATTTCATTTGAAACAAAATATCTCCATCAACCTAACAACTTATAAAATGGACCAATTCGCTCTTTTAAAATGCGATCTATAAATCAGACCGGAGGGAGGGAGTATGTTTATTAGATTTTTACTTTTTGACAAGAGAAGACTTAGATTCACTTCATAATTGAATTGTAAAACAGAAGCTATCATAATTGAATAAATATAAGTGATTCTTGTGTTCATAATTGACAAGGGAAGGCAATAATACGACCGCATTTCATGATAAAAATTTATATCAGTACTTCCGTAATATGAAAGGAGGATGGCCCTACAATATGGTCTTTCAAAACCAGGATAACTTGGTGGTGGAAAACCTGGCTGCTCCTAATGAACAAGTGAGGGAGAATTAGTCCCGCTCAACTACTCAATTGTTGTTAGCTGCCTGCGAAATCTTGCTTATAAAAAGATAAGACATTAGTAGTCCTTTGAAGGTGTGGTCAGCAGCAATGTTAAATAACCATATTCTTAATCTGAAATTCATATCCCATTAATCACAGTGGACTATACCTGGAAAGTTCATTTCGACGATGCTCCATTTTTATTTACATATTTATGCTCATTTGCAAAGGAGTGTTTGACCAGGCAACGAGCCATGACTTGTTTTGTCCATCAAATATGAAAGTAACTGGTTCCATCTATAGTTTAACGACAATTCAATCAAATATTACAATAGTATAGTGAAAATACCATTGGATACAATTTTAGATCTCCACAATCTGCCAGATAAGGTGATCTAAATTGAACGGATTCTTATCCTCGAAATATTTTTCTTGGCTAATACAAAATAGCATAGAATTCCAAATGCAATAATCAGGAATAATGCCCTTATCTATCATTTCTACAAGGAGGTGTAAGGCTTTCTGGAGTTCCCCCTTCTCACAGAAGATATCAATCAGAGGACCATAAGTTTCTCTGTTCGGTACAAATCCTCTTGTAACAATGTCTTCCATGAACTTCAGGGCACTATCAGCTTTTCCCTGACTACAAAAACCGGTGATGATAGCATTGGAGGTGGATGGTACTGGAAAACAATTATTAGCAACCATTTCATTCATCAACTCGATTGCTTCGCGTACACAACCTTCTCGGGAAAATTCTCGAACAAGGCAGTCATAAACGAGAATACTTGGAACCCCGCCTTCTTTAATCATTTGGTCATATACCTTCTTTGCATCTTCAACAGCCCTCTCCTTGCAGCATCTAAAAATCTCCAAGCTTCTATTAACAGCTCTAGGAAACAATTTTCCCATCATTCTTAGAAATTCAAATGCCTCATTTGAACGATTATGCTTAAATAGACCATATATTATGCTGTTATAAGGACTGATACGCCCTCTAGATCCCTCGTTGCTGTCTTCCATTAGTTCCAAAATCATTATACCATCTTCAAACCTTCCTTCTGAACACAACCCTCTAATCATTGTGTCAAAGGTAACGAAGTTCCATCCTAACCCATCTGTTTTCATATCATTAAAAAGATTGAAAGCCACATCTAACATCCTAGACTCAAGAAAACCAGATATCAGAACATTATAGGTATCCACATTTGGAAGGATACCTTTATTCTCCATCTGCTTCAAGAAATGAAGCCCAACTTTTGCTTTTCCCACCTTACAAAAGCCCTTTATTAGAGTGTTATAAGCCACTACATCCACTGCACCTCCCATGCCCTCAACTCTCTCTAAAACCTCAACAGCCTCCGTCACACGCCCAACATTGCACAGAATTTCCACAACCTTAGTTGTTGTAACAACATCAGGCACAAAACCCATACCAAAGCTCTTCTCTAGTAGCACAAGAGCTTGAATTAGATTCTCTTCTTTACAATATCCAGAAATCAGTATGTTATATGTTACATCGTTGGGCTCCTCCATTTCATTCATCAAGCTTCTAGCTCTCCCAACTTTGCCATTCCTGCAAAGTGCATGGATTAAAGTGTTATAAATCACGGTGTTTGGTATGATTCCCCGAGATTTCATCAACTGCAACAGCTTAAAACACTCACTAATTCTGTTGGTGAAGCAAAGCCCTTTCATTAAAATCCCGAAAGTATAATAATCACCTTCAATACCACTTCCCATCATATTCTTCCGATAAAACTCCCTAGCTATGTCGATATCCTCCTTCACGAGAACATCCAGTATCGAATTGAAAATCTTCAATGATGGCTTGCTATGGAACCTATAAACCAAACCAACAATTTTAATGAGCTGCCGAATCATTCTTGCGCGCCCGAGGCCACGAATAATGGTGATAAATATATCCTCGCCAGGGGGAGAACCAACCGAGTGAGGCATTTCATCGAGCAGTTGCTTGACGGTATCGAAACGACGGAAAGTGCAGAGCTTATAAATCAAGGCACGGTAGGTGGATTGCGAGTGGGCAAACTGAGGGAGTTCAGCGGCCCACTTGAAAGTTTGCAGAGCCTGGGAGGCAGATTTTTGCTCCAGTATAAGATGAGAAACATGTTCGTGGGTAGGAACAAGGGAAGAATGTGAAGAAGAAGAAGATGATGATGATGATGATGAAAAGGAATTTTTCAAATGGACGATGAGAAGAAGAAACCTGGGATTCGGAGAAGCACGACGGCTCAAGGTCAAGGAGGATGAATGGGATACAGAGGGGTTGTAGAACTTGCGCATCGAGAGCCGTTGCTTCTGTGTGTTTCATTCAATGTCTATGCTTCCCTTCCCTGCCAATGGCCTTCACTCCAGCGCGCCACAGGTTTTCCACTGCCACCAAAACCACAGAGGTGCTTATGCAATTTACAATCATGATCCATGATAGTTCTCTTCTTTCAGCCCGACTCAACAGAGAATCCTGGGACTTGTGAAGACCCTTTTACTGCTAAATTTTACAGAAACCAGGAGGATAGATTTTCTACTCAAGTATTCCACAAATGAGATAACATCCAGCACCAATTTCAAATACCTTATTCCCACTTGTAACCGAGGTGCTTCCTTTGATAATGAGGCCCAAGCAAATCACCCTAATGATCACGAGTCTAGAAGGTCCCAAATAAAACCTTGCCCAGACGGGAATGTTTCACTAGCAATTCCACATCTTCTAGAATTCCACACGCCTAACAGTGAAAATCTTTCAAAATCAGACCTTTAAGATACTGGTTCGAGGGTAATGGTTAAAAGTGAAAATTATAGTAAAATCGTGATCAAAATTAGTTTAATTGAGTCATGACCAAAACTCGTTTAACAATTTAATAATTAAATTGAACGATTCAACCTGTATTTTTATATTATATTACTAATTGACAGTAAAAAAAGACCATATCTATTTATGTTTTCTAAATGGTAGGATGATTTTTTTAATCTTATCTATAAGACATGTTAACATTTTATTATAATTATTTTTCTTTTATTTTTAATGAATAGTAATAAAAAAAAGTATGTTATTAAAATATGTATATTTAATAAAAATAAAAATAAAAAATTATTAAATTTTAAAAAAAATTAATAAGATTTATTTTTTAGTTATCATGAATAAAGTTAAAATGACTTATGAATAGCATTGGATAGATTATGAGCCCTTTTTTTAAGATTAAACAATAATTTTTAGGTAGTTTAGAGATTTTATAAAAAGAGGTTTATTTTATAGATATTTTATAAAAAACAGACATTATTTTATATTTAATTTTAATAATAAAAAATAATTATTAATTAGTTATTTTTAAATTTTATAATATCTTCCTTGATTTTTTTTTTATAAAAAAATTTTATAATATCTTCATGTATCTCACTTCTTTAAAACATTTTCTCTTACCTACCACATTAAATTATTTTTAAAAGCTATTTAAAGTAGCTTGTTAACATAATAAAAAATATACCTGTTTTCATATTTTGATTATTTTCAAAATTTTAAACAAACATAATAAAAACTCACAAAATAATTTTTTTCAAAAAATAAGTGATTTTTTTTCATAAAATAAGTTAAAACAAACAAGCCTTATATTACTTCGGCTAGTTTGGCAATTGAGTGTGCAGATTTAATTAACGCTTGATGTTTCATTTTTCTATTTTTCAGTTTTGGTCTTGTTAATTACTATGAGGTGTGTGTTTTGTCTTGATCTATTTATTTGGCTTTACAAGGCTGATCCTTTTTTTTTTTTTTGAGTGGAAAACGCTTCATTATAATCAAAAGATCAATACTCAGAATATATCAATTTGGTCATTTCTCATCCCTTCTTCCTCTTGCCTAATATAAAATGGAGGATGATTATTAAAGAAATGACTCTCCAAAGACGAAGTGTTCACAAACTTAGCTAAAGCATCTACATTTCTGACAAAGTCCCTATGGATAAAATTAAGATTAATAAACTAATCTCTACCTAAGATCAATTTAGCTTTCTGAATAATGTCTAAAAAAGGATGGCTTTGTTGGGAGTCTCTCAAGATTAGGTTGTTGGCGTTGACACAATTAGAGACAACGTTGACCTTCCCAATTCCCAATTTCTAGCAGTAATGTAAACCAGTGGTTATAGCTTTTGGTCTTTTACCTCTATAATAATAGGTGGCAACAATTTTGTTTGTAAGCAGAAGCCCAAGATCCATCTATCACTTGGTTGTCTAATGATGCCTCCAATTGTGCTACCTTTGTCTTGTATGATTGATGCATTTGTATCTAAAGTGAATGTATTTGTGTTAGTATGGTAGCTCTAGATAGATTGGGTGCTTGCTTTTTTGTGCATTTGCATGAACTGTTGAATTCCAAAGTCTTGAAGAGCCCAAAAATAAACACTAAGGGGGTTAGCAGAAATCATCTCATTTTCCTTACCAAATATTTGCTTACATCTACTAACCCAAATATCCCAACAAACATGAAAAAAGGGCACTCCATGAGATGTTTTTGACCATAATATTGCTCAAGTCCTTACTAAGGTTCCATTTTACCCAATCTTGATCCTTTAGATTACAAAACTTTTCCTAAAATTTCCTTAAGACAAGCTTAGATCACCTATCTTTAGCATGAACACAATCACAAAATAAATGCGGTAAACTTTCTTCTCTTTGACATCCAAAAATGCATTTGTCCTCTTCCTAAATTCCTTTGAGTCTTCTAAGTTTTGCTGTGTGGATATGGTTGTGCACAACATGCAAGTTCTCCCTTACTAATTCATAACTGACTCCAAAAATGAGATAATCACGGGACTAATCCAAGTAAATCATTACATAAATGGGATCATAAGTTTTTAAAATTTAAAATACTATAAAATCATTCCATAAACTAAAATCAAAGCAAAACCTGTATACAAAAACATAAACATTATAAAAGGTAAGATAACATTAAATTAGGGTCAAAAGAGAAAAAATAATGATTTTGACAAAATACATTGTGGCATAAAATTTTACGTGCGATGTAAAATGCAGAACCCATGATAGTAACATGCTATCATGGTAGATTTTTTGGCTAGACTTTCAATTGGCTCAATTTCTTTGTCTAATATCTAATTGAGGTGACCTAGCTATTTATAGAAAACTTTCTTCGAGCTCTAGCTAATGGTATTAGTTTTACATTCAAATCATTTCCTAATCAAAAGTTAGACACCAAAAAGCAAACTCACTTATTTTTACTTTCAAAAGATAATTAGGGTGTCCAAAATCATAACCAAGTGCCATAAGCTCACAACTACTCCTAGACTCTCAAACTCAATAAGACTTATGCAACACACCACAACACTCTAATAATATGTACAATATATTTTTAATACTCAACCCTTTAATCTAAAAAATGATAGGGGAAGTCTCAATCATGTAATTTTACATCTAATTCACCATCATTCACAAATATACTCAATTCACCATCATTCACAAATATACTCACTCTTTACTTGTACAAATATTTTGGTCCTATTTAGATTTCACATTTAATTCATATACAATCTAGGGCTACAAAACTTAGATCAATAATTAAATGGTACAAGTAAGGAAAAACATGTAATCTCCTAGTTGGCATTATTAAGATAAATTATACACATTAACACTTAAATTAACAATTCTTACAAATCTAGGATAAAAATCTTAAGCATCTAATTGTTTTTCTTAGTCCTGTCTGTTGAGCTAGTACTGTAATATTGTAGAGAGAAGGGTGACTACAACCACTCAATAACCAAGGTTAATCTAGCCTATACAAATACATGTTAATTAATTATAGTGATGCAAATGTCATATTCAAATGAAATATATTCACATATTAAATCACCCAATTCACATAGCCATAAAACTAATAACCATATGACATTAGATTATTTTACATGCAAGGGTCACAACACTAACAAACATTTGCTCTTTTTAAAATGTGAAAGACTATAAAAATAACAAACATGTGGCCATATAATGATATGCATGATCAATACCAACCTTACACTTTTTTTTGATATCTCTGGCATGAAGCTAGTGGCTATTTAGTAGGATTTATTTTTGTCATCAAACTACCTAAGCCTTTCACTTGTGAGGAGTTACCTTACTAAGGCTACTACACTCACTTGTGAGTCATGGTTTTCCCTAATACTAAAACCATGAGGTATTGTACTCTTAATCTAGTTTCCTCATAAACCAGTAGAGACTAGTTATGTTTGAGTCCCTCGATAAACAAGTAGGAAAGTCTCTCAAAGAAAAAGTAGGACAATAAAATAAAGAGGCAAGCCATCAAGCTTCGAATGGCAACCTTACCACGTGGATTTTCATTATCTACTCCTCTTCCTATATGCAAAACCCTTGCCTTAAATGATCATGCAATGAAATTATGGTTAACACATAATATATGCAATTATTCATCAAGTTCTCTACATGGCATATATGTATCACTCATTACTTGTCACACCCCTAATACTAAAGGTATGACTGGCACGGAATATGAGATAACCTCACATTCACAAGCCTTAATTAACTAGAAATTAAGTTGAATTATCGATATGTATTTTATATATATATATATATAATTTGTAAATTCTTAAATATTTTGTAAAAATTTCAACAGAGTCTCCTCTGTAACTTGAACCTCCCCAAATTCTTACAATAACAAAGGAAAATAGCTTCACACTAGCAGATTATATATTAACAAAATAAAACTAGGACCTTATTACGGTATACGTGGAGCACTAAGTTACAATTTCATAATATAAAATATATTTACATCAAAAGTAATTAACACATACTTCTACGGTTTCAAAAACAATTGTCCCTCAGTAATCAGCAGGAGATGTAGGGTCAATTTCAATATCTGAGACCAAAGAAAATTTTTTCGGTAGGTAGTGTCCCGATTCATAGTTGAAGGAAATAATGAAAAGGAATCAATGAGCTAATTATGAATTTACTAAAATAATTAATTAAAGATAATATAAACCAAGACTATATAAATACAAATGAAATTATTAAAATTTCAAATTTCAAATTATTAAATTTCAACACATACTTAAACATCTTGGGATATATATATATATATATATATTACTCAATATAACATCCATATTTAGTAAAAAGCACAGCAGTTTACTTCCTGAGATTAAATTTTTAAAAAAATAGTTTTAAAATCCCTTCTTTAGCGGGACTTAATCAGAACAATTAACAGACGTGGACACACAGTTCACGAGGATAAATAACATATCCGACGTGGCAAGAAGCCACGAAAAAAAATAAGCGCAAGCATAAAGCTCACGAATAACAGGCATGGATTATATCTACAAAACTACATCCTCCATTCCACGTGTGTTGGCCCGCACACGGGGCTAGCACCTCTAATGCACCCTGCTAGCTAAGTGTACCATGGCGCGCCAAGGGCTAACGGAACTGCCGTTAGCATCCAATGTTCTAAACTCAGTCCCTCTAATTAAATCAAGCATGCATGAGTTTGAAACATTCATTAAAAATTGTTCCTTTCAAACTATAATACTCAACTATTAAATTTTTTTTCATTGTTCTCCATGCACGAATCACTATATTAATAACTATCATATAAATTATAAACTTTTAAAAAAATAAAAATCTTTAGAATAAATAATCAGTTATAACGTATCGGATCTAAA